TTTTTTTTTTTTTTTTTTTTTTTTTTTTTTTTTTTTTTTTTTTTTTTTTTTTTTTTTTTTTTTTTTTTTTTTTTTTTTTTTTTTTTTTTTTTTTTTTTTTTTTTTTTTTTTTTTTTTTTTTTTTTTTTTTTTGTCTCATCAAGATAATGCATATATAAGTTATACATATGCAAGCATGAATTGATATTCATGTATCACAATCCATCAACATGGCAATAAGTGACTATTAATTAGTCATGTGTTACATGCCTGAAGCATGACATATATGTAGGTTCTAAAGACTTAATTCCCCATAAGTGGAGATAATTTGAAAAATTCAAGCCTTATTGAAAATAATGCTCTATAGGAGGTTATGATCAACATTCTCCAAAGAGATGTTTGTCCCCTAAATGACAATGGAAGCCCCTGAAGAGGCATTGGTACCCCAAAACAATGAAATGTTTATAAATTATGCATGCGCATGCATATGAGAGTTTTGGAATCACGAATTGATGATACATTTGGTTTATTAGTAGCTACTGCAATCATCAAGGGCTATGATTACATTAAATCACGTCTAAGGAATGTCAACAAGTTAAGTGATTGGCCAAAATGGAAATAGGCAATTGCAATTATCACTAAATATAAAGTGTGAGATATTGAACCTATAGCTTAAACACCAAATTACAAATGAGTTGTAACATCCCAAACTAAATTAATTACTATTTAATTATTAATTATGAAATTACATTTTTGCCCTTAGGGGTAAGCATATTTTAATCACTTTTTGTTCGGAAACGAACTTGGGGAATTGAGTCTCACTGTTGTGTCGGGCTCGTCGATAAGAGTCCGCAGACAGGCGGCATGCTCAATTCCGAGTTTCAACGATTGATAAAAAGTCTAAAAACTTAAAGGATGTAGAGGGAACTTCAAAATTTGTTAAATACCCAGCCTTCTCTCTCACCTGGCTCATGTGTGGACCCCCCAACTCTCTCTCTCTCTCTCTCTCTCTCTCTCTCTCTCTCTGTGTCTCTGAAACGGCGCAGAGCGCCTGTTGGACTTTCCAGTGACACAACGTCAAATGCGAGCCAGGCGCGAGCTCGAAGAAGCTCTAGTTGCTTCAGAAAATTCCGAAGCAATATTTGACGGATCCGACTAAGTATTCCATCGATCCAGGTATGGTTTCTTATCCCCTCAACGAGCTCTGGCTATCTGCATAGGTGGTTTGGGTCAATTTGGGAGATTTGGAATCGAATCTAAAACCTAGTTTTTGTCTGACTGTCGAGTGGCGTGTGGCAGTGTGTGGGCCACTTCGTGGTGGCACTTGAAGTCCCAAAATACTTCTCATGTCGTCTCGAGCACGCCGTTATGCTCGGATTAAGATTTGGATACCGTTTGACTATCGAACGAATGTTACGCCTATTAGGCGATATCTAGGTTAGATAGGTTTGGACCATCCGATTGGTCCCATTTTCACATATGTCGTTCCTCGTATCTCTAGGATCGTGTAGCAACTGATTGACCGAAAATCAGAATTCCGGATATTTCGAATCAATGAGTTTAGTTTTAGATAAATCGATTACCGTGCAATCGTGCGATCGAGAGCGGGTCGACCGCTCGATTGAGACCAAACTCTCGGGACTTGTTATGTAGACCTTGTTGGACTTATATGAACATTTGGATTGGAAATTGGGGGTTGTGGGTTGTGGGCCCCAAGGGCCTAGTTGGTCAAATTTCACGATCAGGGCCAAACCGACCGTTGGATCATGACGAGACGTTTAGGATGAATTTAACTTATATGGTTATGGACCAATAGGAATTTTCATATAACAAACTAGAGGTCGTGGGCCTTGTGTGCCCAATTAATTTAGATGGTGGGTCATGTTGGCTCGATTGAGGTCAATTAATGAGTTGTAATGGTGAGTGGACTTTTGTTTTAAAGATGCATTGTTTTTCAAATATTGAACTACAGGCATATTATGAGATTTTGATTGAACATGGTTTAAATGGGTTTATGGGATTTATGGGATTGTGTATATGTTTTGATTGTGGCCTTACAGTATCATATAGTATTACTAGAATTGATTGCTAATGATAAAATATATGGAATTTGAATTGTGGTTATGGCATATTGTTGGAACTTGGCTTTGTTATGATGCTGTGATATTGGGTGTGAGTGGTATATATTGATGGTGGTGATTGTGTGAGTTACCATAATATGTACCTCCCCGGTATTGACTGGATGATAACCACATCCACGATAAGGGATGCCGTCGTGTGGTGGTGATATAGGTGGGAAACTGAATTGTTAGGAACTAGTATTTTGGTTAAGGACGTTATGAAAATGGGTTATCGGATTGGTTTCGGCCTTTACCATGTGACATGAGACTTTCAGTGTATATATTGTTATTATTATTCTTTTATTATTATTATTATTGTTTTATTATTGTGATTGTTATTATTATTCAATGATGGTTTGATAGACAGGTTTGGTGTCAGTAAGGATTTAATTAAATGTTGATTATAAGTTATATTCAAATACACCTGCTCAATGGTTTGGAATTACTGAAGTATAAATACCAGTTTCTGAATAGTATATTATACGTATTCGAATTTAGTTGAGAATAGTTTTGAAAGGTATTGCTTATGAGTTCATAAACGGCTTGAGTAGCCTGGTTTAGTTTGAGTTGGCATTGATGGGATTTGGGGTTCTTAATGTGAGTTAAAGTTGTGGGAAAGTTGAGAAAGGATTTTGGGGGATACGGTTGCCTTTGGTAGAGTCTATGCTTATGACTAGTATTGCATGTGCCTACGGTGGTAGTTGTCCTGTCAGTGGATATTGCCTATACCTATGGTGGCAGGTGTCTGCCAATGGATATTGCCTGTGCCTACGGTGGTAGGTGTTCGGCCAATGATTTTCCTGTATCTACATGGAGATTACTTTGTAGGTGTCCGGCTAGTGGTTTGCCTGTATTTGTATTGAGTTTACTATGCAGGTGTCCGACCTGGATTTTCCCAGGATTTTCCCCAGCCACCTACCCGATTTGTCTACATAGGTGGTTGGCCAATTTCCCCCATCCCCCGATTTCTTTCGGAGAATATATTGGTTGCCTTCAGATGAATTTATATGTTCCATATACCCCTTGGTGGGTGATAGCAGGATGTACGCTATGTGGGTGGTTGCAGGTATGGTTTCATGTAAAAGGTTTTGCTGTTGGGATGTTTTATTTGTGTTGTTACAGGTGAAAATAATTTGGTAAATGTCCGTTTTTCAAGGGAGACTCTGCAAAAATTTCGGTAGACGTCTTGACCCTTTATCTTCTTGAACTCGGGAAAGATGGTAAATTAGTAGGTGGGTTCGGCATTAGTGAATGCTAGACGGGTAACATCGACAGGGATTCTGAGGGGGAATTCGGGTCGTGTCCTGTCATGAATGTTACATTCCTGGTAGATACATAATTTTGGTCTCCCGTCGTCATAAATGCAGCAACATTGTTATAAGTACAGTTGTTATTTTAATGCAAGACTTATGACATGTCTTAAATGTATATTTATGGAGACTGCATGCTATATGGAAATTTTTAAAAGCTCATGAATTATTTGAGATATATCACTTGAAGAGATGCCTTCAAGGATATAAAGTGTCATAAATTCTTAATTAAAGGATTGACACTAAGGGCCCGAAGCTCAAGTTATGTAGTCCAACATTTTCATTATATTGTGTATAAATTGATCTAAATTATTTTTGTGAGTACTTTCCCTTCAAATTTGATATTGTTACAACATTATATTTGGAATACTTGTGATCCTCCTTCAACAGTAAGTGTTATGATGATCATGTATGAAGACATTGCTGCTTGTATAACGAAAGTCAAAGAAGGGTTCATTAGGGGTGACGTAAGCAAACCTCTTTACCAAATGTTTAATATCATGTAGGGATATTAATCCAGGGGAGCATCCTAGTTCTACTACATACAAGACATACGCGCGTTGTACTCTTTTTCCCTTCGACTAGGTTTTTGTCCTATTTGGTTTTTCCTAGCAAGGTTTGAACGAGGCAACATAAGCGCGTCCAACACCATATTAATGATCCAGAAGATCGTTGCACTCTTTTTCCTTTAGCTTATGTTTTTGTCCCACTGGGTTTTCCAAGCAAGGTTTTTAATGAGGCAACTATGTCATTGTATGGTGGACATCCAAGGGGGAGTGTTGTAAATGCATGAGTATGACCACCAAACCTCTTAGTATTCCACCCTTAGATTTTATGTAATCTATACACTAAATATTTGTAATTAATGCTTGTAACCTATAGGTATATTGTAAGTGATGATATTCAATACCATTTAGTGAATGTAGAGATGATGAGATTGTCCCTTGGAAGAAGTTTCCTTGCATGTTTCGATGTTCTGTTTTTATACAGCTACCTAGACTTGACGGAATTTCACCAGATAGCATGTTTTGAGACACATCTAAAAACTCCAGATTTGGTAAACTTCCTACTTCTTTGGAAAGCAAACCGGTCAATTGATTTTGAGAGAAGTCCAACTCAGATAATGAAGAGAGCCCAAAGACTCCCTGGGGAATGGTACCGGTGAAATTATTCTCACGCAGAATTAAGGCCGCCAAACTGTGACTCAGATAAAGTTGTAGGGATATGGCCTTGAATGCTATTGGAAACAAATAGTAATTTAAACAATTGACTTAAATTTCCCTGAGAAGGAGTTAAATGCTGACATGCCACTATTAGCAATTGAGAAAATGTAATATACAAGTGAAAATCCTTAACCTATGATCGGCTTACGATAGGCCTGCCCAACACAAATTATAGAAATCAAAGCAAAAGGCCCAAATGAAGCCAACAATTACAAAACAGTCCACTAGCATGGCCCCCAAATAATGTAGGGAACATTCATCAAAAAAGAAAGAAAAACTCTTTTATTTAATCAAGCAGACCTCTCAGATCTTACTTTAGACAGTAATGAAATTCTGGATACAAAGGAAACAGTATTATTACATATGCTCTATTGGCATATTCTATTTGCTCGAAGTTTGTTTCTTATTCGGCACATTTCAGACATTGCGTCAGTAATATCTAACCGCTCTCTAGGCAACTCTGCAGAGCAAGCAACACCAATTTCTAAAACTGAAATCCAGCTCTCCTCAATTTTGATGTGAGCCCTTTTGCTATCCTCCTTAAGACGATTGTTTGCACTGCTCATCTCCCTGTCCACTTTTTCTTGAACAAGAACCGGATCCACAATTTCTATCACTTGCTCAGGTAGAGCTTCCTTGACAAAGCCATGAAGGTTTGAAGTTCCTTGAAACATGTCGTCGGTTGGTCTTTTTCCTGTAAACATTTCCAACAGGAGGATGCCATAACTGTAGACATCACCTTGTGTCCACACTTCATGTCCCATACCATACTCTGCATTTGCACAATTCAAAACACAATATTCTAATTTATATTTAATTAAGTGCCCACAGCTCTACTTCCATGTTTCAAACTACTAAAAGTATAGAAGAAAAAGAAAGAAAAAAAATCAAAACTGTAGAAGGGAAGTATTTATTTACCTGGAGGAGTATAACCAATTGTTCCTTTTACACCAATGGAGCTTGATTGATAACCAGAAGAGTTTTCAAACGGCTTGATTAGGAATCTTGCCAATCCGAAGTCCCCTACATGTCCAACCATATCCTCATCGAGAAGAATGTTGCTAGGTTTGAGGTCGCAGTGAACTATTGGCGTCTCACAATGATGATGGAGATAATCCAATGCCATGGCAACGTCGATAACAATGTTCAACCTCTCACAAAATGTTAAGCTTCTTGGTCGCTCATTTATCTCACCAATTTTTTGCGTTGGATGCAGCCATTCATCCAAGCTCCCATTAACCATGAACTCATAAATTAAAGCCTTGAAATCATTACCCTGATAATCGGAACCCGAACATGCCGAGAGTACCTTCACAAGATTACGGTGTCTAATATTTTTCAAGGCCTCACACTCAGCAGTGAAACTTTTATAAGCTCCGCGGTGGACCAGGTTGAGTACCTTGATGGCAATTGTTGTTTCAGCTCTCTCAAGTACTCCTTTATAAACAGACCCAAAACTGCCCATACCAATCAAGTTGGCAGAGGAAAATCCGTCAGTAGCTTTCAGAAGACTTTGGTAAGACACGGTGAAATTTTTTTCTGAATCACTTGAAGTGGGATCCTTTTTCTCCCTCCGTGAGTAACGGAAGTACAAAAAGGCTAGTGTGAAACTGACTCCAAGAACCGCACAAACTAGAGAGATTATCAATTTCATGGTTGGGCTCAATCCTCTCTTGTTAGAGTGTTGCAGTTTGCATTTTGGCAATTGAAACTCCGGTATGCCCCCGCAAAGTTTACTATTTCCTCTAACTGATGTGGCAGTTGCATTCTTGAAAACTCCTTTGATAGGCACCATGCCCTCAAAATTGTTATCAGATAGATTCAAAAGTTGCAAAACTTTGAAACGCTCCAAGAATTCCGGAATCATGCCTGACAAGTTGTTTCCAGATAGGTTTAATGCTCTAATACCTCTCAGTGAACCCAAAGATGATGGAATTGTGCCTTGGAAAAAGTTTCCTTGGAGGTCTAGAGATTCTATTTTGATGCAACTACCAAGGCTTGCAGGAATTTCACCAGATAACATGTTTTGAGAAACATTTAAATACTCAAGATTTATAAGTTTTCCTACTTCCTGAGGAAAGCGACCGGTGAAACGGTTTCGGGATAAATCCAAAAAAATATATGAAGATGATGGACCGATGATTTTTGGGGAAATGATACCGCTGAGATTGTTTCTTGGAACAGACAAGATTTCCAAATTGTGACAGTCTCCTAAACTTGAAGGTATATTTCCTTGAAGGTTATTGTCATCGAAATATAAAATAGTTAATTGACTTAAATTTCCAAAAGAGGAAGGAATTTCCCGAGAGAGAGAGTTTATAGCTAAATCCATTGAATATAACTTTTGAAGCTTGCCTAGATCAGGGGGGATTTCACCAGAAAATTGGTTCATAGATAGATACAGGCTCTCCAGGTTAACTAAATTTCCAATCCCATTTGGGATACTTCCTACTAATCTATTGTCACTTACATAGAACCGGTCAAGAGAAGAAGACAAGTTCGCTATGCATTGAGGTAAGACACCCCCAAAATTGTTTATATTGACGCCTAAAACTTCCAAACGAGTGGCGTTAGCCAAATCGCAAAGAAAACCCAAGTCACGGCCAAATTCTCCGCTTCCAAGATGATTCTGAGTAAGACCTAACCGCTCAAGCCGATGCAATTTTTTCAGAGAAGGGACTTGTCCATGCAGTTGATTTGCTTCCAGTCCCAGATAATATAGGTTTGTGGCATTTGATAATGAAGCAGGAATAGTTCCACTAAAATTGTTCAGGCCAGTACCAAAATGAATGAGATTTGGCCAGGCATTACCTAAGTTTAAAGGCAACGTCCCTTGGATGTTGTTGTTTGCAATTCCAATCTGTAGTATAGAAGAAGCATTGAAGAATGAAGGAGGGATCATACCAGACAGCCTATTTACGTCAGCATGAAAGTACCTGAAATTGGTCAGTTGACCAAAAATATCTGGAATATTCCCCTTCAAATTATTTTCAGAAAATTCAAGAGTCTTAAGAGATGATAAGTTGCTAAAAGAGTATGGGATACTTCCTGTAAGGTTGTTCTTGGAAAATCTGAGCACTCTTAGCTTTGACAAAGTGCCAAGCTCTTCTGGAATGCTTCCTACTAACAAATTTACGCCACAAGAAATCCTTAACAGTTGGGAGCAAGCTGATAAGTTGGTGGGAATTTCTCCACGAAGTGAATTATTCGACAAGATTAAATCTTCCAATCTGCGCAGACGGCTGATTTGTGGAGGGATTTCATGGCTGAAGTTGTTGTCATCGAGATTAAGTTCTCTCAAAAAGCTCAAGTTTCCAATATGGGGTGATATAGAGCCTGCAAGTTTCAAGGACTGGAGGACCAAACTGGTGACCCTCTGGTGACGACGGCCACATGTAACGCCATGCCAACCGCAAAAGTGGTTGGTTTCGTTCCATGAAGCCAGGGCTCCAGAGGGGTCACTGGTTATTCTAGCCTTGACTTCAAGCAAGGCTAGTCGATCTGTCTCATTTCCGGGAAGGGCCAAACAAAGACATATTGAGTGAAGGATGAGAACTTGGATGCAAAAAAGGGAGAAAAACACAAGAGAAATAGAGTTGTAAAGCCTCATGCTATCAGTTTAATTTGGGTAATGTGTTTGTGTAGCAACTTGAGGAGGGGAGACTCCAATTTATAATTGTAAGCAGTACACTTTGATTGTTGGAATTTCTAACTTAGAAATGGAAATCAATAAATGTATGGTTTGGTGAAAGTTGGACGGTATGTTCTCCACCACTATTAATTCCTTTATCAAACTAACTGTAATCTTCTAAAAAAGGCAGCTGCACGTCTTTGATTTTTCTTACTTGAAATACTTGTTTCTTTTCTTTGCTTATTTGTCCATTTTCTTTGAGAGTGAAATTGAGAGAGGTGTGATATAGTTTGTAAACTTATCACCCACATTTATTTGATATTAGTGTGTAAACTAAATACCAACATTATTTCAGCCCCCCAAATTCTTCAAACATCACTCATTCCCTGAGCACATAGCAAGAGGCTTATAACTCAAGTGGTTAAGACAAGTTACCCATGCACCCAAGTCTTGTGTCGGAATCCCATTGTTCTTGTACAGAAGGAAGAATTTATTTAAGCTTGTTCCTGTTGGCCTATTTCTCAAAAAGTATTAGTGACTATTCTATAATCTGACCACTTTGAATTGGTCAATTTTTATTGGCCCTACGGTAGAAATTTACTATAGAGACAAAGGAATAGAATATTTGGCCGTATTATTCTTCTCTACAAGGAGGAAATAAATAGCATAAAAGATATCATATACAGGGAAAGTAGTTAAGCCTAAAGTCAACAACTAGAAATTAGCCAATTACATCTAATTACAAGGCTAATCACACGAGGTTAACTACACTCAAACTCAACACTCCCCCTTAAATTAAATTAAATTGAGCATAGACCCATAAAATTCATTTTTAATCACCTACAACTTTTCTTTTCTTTTTTTCTATTTAAAATACCCAATCTTGAAATTGGTACTTAGGTGACGAAAGATAAATTTAGAAGATATTCAACCAAGAACGCAACAAACTTCACACACGTTTTTGTGAAACTTAATTTGGTAGCTAAACCAGTGAGTGCATAATGTGTAGCAACTTCAGGGGAGTACCCAATTTATAAGCAGCTGCTGCTGCATTGTAACTTCTCCAACTAATGAAGAACGTAAACACATGACTTGGGGGGTCATTTATTAATTCTTTCCAGTGTTTTCGGAGGCCGGCTGGAGAAAATTAATTATGGGCCCAAGATACCTTTTAAAAGGCATGCATTTAGAATCAGACAAAACTTCTTGACTTAATTTGCCAGCTTATTTTCAGACTTTTTCCGAGTCTCCTACTGTGTTTGATGGAAGTTCATTAGAATACTACTAGTTTTTGCAGAGGTCGCCACTTGCCATGTCCTTATGGTGAAACGACAAAGAAAGCTCAATTTTGAGCATCACCGTCACGTCTACACCATTAATTGGTATTCAACCAATTTTTTTTTTTAAAATTCATTCATAGAATCAAAGTAACATACATAAAATGACCCGAAACAGTGGCCTTACTAAAACTTTCCTGAGGAACAAACCTCAGGGAAAGAAAGAGTACCACATATGTCATAGACTAACAAGAGAGTTTGAAACAGTCACATAGGACCAATGCTAGAGCAAGATCAAATAAAACAGCAAACTAACACATAGACCTTCGACGCAAAGACCTCCGATAAAAACACTACAATATAATCCAACTGTCAAGCTAAAACAACAAACTGAGTTGGTTATGCCTTAAAGTATATGTTATTGAATAACATATTGGACTTTTATTTTTCTTCTTTCTATGTTAAATTGAATTAAGATATGATTAATTTGTAGGTTCAAAATGAACTTAATGGGAAAGACAATAATGGCGTATCATAAAATTTGAGGTGGCTAGCAGCTAGTCCAAGCATGGCAGTGTCATCATGTAAGTGCTATCTAATTTGCCAGGAAGTGGCCGAAAATTGATCCAAAAACGAAAAAATTTCTAGTTTTTAGATTGAGTTTCAAAACTTCAAAATCAATCTAATCAAACCCTACCGCGCCTCTGTTTTTTTTTTTCTTTCTCAAAACCTGTTTTGTTTCTATATTTTTAACAATTTTTGAAATTCCCAATTTACCTTTTTAATCTTCAGACCTTTTTAAGTTCGTTACAACTCAGAATTGAGAGTACCGCGTGTCTATGAACTCATTCCGACAAGCCCAATGCAACGGTGTAAATCAATTCCCCAAATTCTTTCCCGAACAGAAACTGACTAAAGTGACCCTACTCCCAAGGGAAAAATGGTAATATCTCTTCAATAGACAGTGTTTTTCTTACTTGAAATACTTGTTTCTTTTCTTTGCTTATTTGTCCATTTTCTTTGAGAGTGAAATTGAGAGAGGTGTGATATAGTTTGTAAACTTATCACCCACATTTATTTGGTATTAGTGTGTAAACTAAATACCAACATTATTTCAGCCCACCAAATTCTTCAAACATCACTCATTCCCTGAGCACATAGCAAGAGACTTATAACTCAAGTGGTTAAGACAAGTTACCCATGCACCCAAGTCTTGTGTCGGAATCCCATTGTTCTTTTACAGAAGGAAGAATTTATTTAAGCTTGTTCCTGTTGGCCTATTTCTCAAAAAGTATTAGTGACTATTCTATAATCTGACCACTTTGAATTGGTCAATTTTTATTGGCCCTACGGTAGAAATTTACTATAGAGACAAAGGAGTAGAATATTTGGCCGTATTATTCTTCTCTACAAGGAGGAAATAAATAGCATAAAAGATATCATATACAGGGAAAGTAGTTAAGCCTAAAGTCAACAACTAGAAATTAGCCAATTACATCTAATTACAAGGCTAATCACACGAGGTTAACTACACTCAAACTCAACACTCCCCCTTAAATTAAATTAAATTGAGCATAGACCCATAAAATTCATTTTTAATCATCTACAACTTTTTTTTTTCTATTTAAAATACCCAATCTTGAAATTGGTACTTAGGTGACGAAAGATAAATTTAAAAGATATTCAACCAAGAACGCAACAAACTTCACACACTCTAGACCTTGACCAAATACTCTTATGACTAGTCAATTGTCATATATGAATCATACCAAACAATAACATACACAGAGCATACAAAAATGTACCTGCAAGTTTAGAGAATTAGTAGTGACAAGCTAGGCATTCAGAAGGACCCGTCAATCTAGACATCTCCTGTGCTAACAACAACTATGGTGAAAGTGTGTGAAGACAACATAATCAAGCAAACACCAAACATAAGAAAAAGATGACTAGTCAACTATCAAAAACACAAACCCAGAAAATTACAGAGATGGAAACCAGAAATTGTTCACCCAGAAACCCACCATTGGGAAAAACTAGGGGTCATCAACCGACCAGGCAATCCACTAAGCAAAAAGATTCTTGCAAAGAACACTAGCAAGCTCAAGAAATTCCTAGGTCTATTTAGAAAGATGAGCTATACCTCTTTTGTGCAATCTTCTTCTTCGACTTAGCAAAGCTTGAAGCTCAGTTATTCATGGCAATGACAGCTCCTTCTTCAGCTCTTTCATCCCATGGCACTAGCTTGCAAGCTCTAACTCAGACAGAAATGAAATTTGGATTCATGAAGAAAATGACCAATTTCTTCAAGAAACCATACTCTTGAAGAAATCAATCTTGAATCTGACCTAGATATATATGATAGAGTGTTTGATATAGCAAGATGAAGTTTTCATATTTCAAATGCAGTTTTCAAAAAGAAATAATTTGGAAAACTCAAAGATGAAAAATATGAAGGTTACTCTTGAGGAAAAAGAAGAGAAAGTTTGCTATGAAACTTTCCAAAACTTGTCCCCCAAAGTGACGGCTACCAAATGAGGAATGCATGCATTTTTATACAAAAATTCCTAGGTTGGAATCGCACAAGGCAGCAGAGGATTTCGCAGAATAGGACAAAAAAATGGGTAGGATCCAGCCGGAAACAGTGACCTGGAAAATCTTACTAATGCAAAGGTTGACTAGTCATATGGAGAAAGGATGACTAGTCATAATCTTCAGGAATAGGTTAATGCAATGTGATGCAATGCAAAACATACCTTTGTCAAACACAATGTTGTCCATCATAATGTAGCCAGATAAGAACACACCTAGAGATGAAATTCTTAATCTAAACTTGAGCTTGAGAAAATACAATGATTTACCTATTACAAACTTGTCAAGGGAAGCCAAAAGAAAATTACAAAATCCATACATTTACAAATCTTTTCAAATAAAACCCGATAACTAGGATTTAAGTAATCAAGTTACCTAATCTAGTTTAAAATATGATTTATTATGTTTTTTCGGATTTCAAAACTACCCATATTTACAAGTTAACGTGTTATGTGGGGGGTGTAACTAATGGCACACACATGAAATTTGAAAATATCTCCAAATGGTTGTAATGGATATAAGAATTAATTTAGAAACTTATTTGAAAATAAATATTAAATTAAATATTAACTTATTAGTAATCTATATATGATTAACTTTTTGGTTTATTCAATAAAAAAAATTATGTTGTTTTCCTTTTGTGAATTATACCACTAGTAATCTATTTTATTATAGTTTAATGAATAATAGTATACATTCTAATTATGTTGAAAAATAATTTGATAATCTATCTATTGTTTGTTTTATGAAAAACAATTTTTTTTTAAATGAACCTATTTTTTCTCTATACAATTTACCATTTTTTTTTCTCTATATAAAGCACCTATTACTTGTTTTATGAAAAATAATTTGATCATCATTTTATTGTTTGTTTTATGATTTTTTTTTTAAATGAACCTATTTTTTCTCTCCAAATAATGTACCTTTTTTTTTCCTCTAATAATGTACCTTGTAACACCCCGACCCCAAATTTATCCCATGTTTTAATTTATTTAAGTGGAATTGAGAAATTACCCGTGGGATAGGGGTATTTTAGTCATTTTCTTATCCGGAAGGAATTTGGGAATTCCGGTTGTGGGCTCGAATCGGAGTTGTAACGAGAGAGATATG